TTGCCGTAACGAGGAGTGCCCGTTCAAATTAACAGCATCTTTCAGGAAGAGAAGCGATTCCTGGAAGATAGGGTCAATGGGTCCGTCCCACACCTGTATCATCTCGAACCCGATGCAAGACCATCGCAAACTAAACTCTAAGTTGATTTGTGATGAGATTCTATCAGTCGTCAGCGACAACCCATCTTTGAAGGTGAGTACCATAATTGCGCATATGGTACAAAGGTACAACTACACTCCTTCGTACCGAAAATCCTGGATAGCCAGGAATAAAGCTGTTGAAATGGTGTTTGGAAATTGGGAGGAGTCATACAAGGAACTTCCTAAATTCCTAGTAGCCCTTAAACACTACTCTCCAGGAACTGTTGCGATATTGGAGACGTTGCCTGCTTGTACACCAGACGGGAGTTATGTTGCTGGGAATGGAATTTTCCACAGAGTCTTTTGGGCATTCGAACCATGCATCAAAGGGTTTGCATTTTGTAAACCTATAATTCAGATTGACGGAACCTGGCTTTACGGGAAATATAAGGGCACACTTCTGATGGCTGTGGCACAAGACGGGAACAACAACATTTTCCCGATAGCTTTCGCCATAGTTGAAGGGGAGACTGCTGGGGGTTGGAGTTTTTTCTTAAAAAACCTACGGTCATACGTGTCTCCCCAACCTAACTTATGTTTGATCTCCGATCGACACCCATCCATCGAGAGTGCTTACAACAACCATGACAACGGTTGGCAGGATCCTCCATCGACCCACGTCTACTGCATAAGGCATATTGCCCAAAATTTCATGAGGGAGATCAAAGACAGGACGCTGCGGAAGAAGGTTGTGAACACAGGGTATGCACTAACTGAACCAACATTCAGATACTACCGTGACGAGATTAGACTGAACAACGCGGATGCATTAAGATGGATTGACGACATTGATAGGGAGAAATGGACGCGAGCATACGACAATGGGGTGCGATGGGGCCACATGACAACCAACCTCGTCGAGTCAATGAATTCTGTTTTCAAGGGAATTCGAAACCTCCCAATAACTGCGTTGGTAAAGGCAACCTATTTTAGGATGGGATCACTTTTTGATAGCAGGCGTGCGAAGTGGGGTTCGGTATTACAATCGGGTCAGCTGTACAGTGACACTGCAATGAAATTCATGAAAGACGAAGCTGCCAAAGCCAACACCCACGTGGTCACAATATTTGACCGTACAGCTGGTTGGTTCAGTGTTGCCGAGGCTATAGATCACAATGAAGGAAGGCCCAGGGGATGTTATCGTGTTGAATTAGATAAGAGCTGGTGTGATTGTGGAAAGTTTCAAGCATTCCGAATGCCTTGCTCTCATGTCATAGCAGCTTGTTCGAAGGCGCGCCAGGACCCAACCAACCTTCTTTCTTCAGTTCACCAAGTCATAAGTCTATGCAATGTCTACTCATGCAGTTTTCAGGTGTTGGCAAAGGAGGACTATTGGCCCGAATACGAAGGCCAAATTGTTTGGCATAATGACTTGATGCGCAGAAAAAAGAAGGGTCGGCCTAACAGCACGCGCATACGAACCGAGATGGATACCTCGGATAAGCTAGTGAGATTGTGTAGTTCGTGTCGGCAACCAGGACACAATCGTACGACGTGTCCAAACGTTGGTCCGAGCAGCAGATCATAGTTTCATTTGTAAACGTGTCCATTTAAATCAAAAGTAACTTTCATTTGATTAAAATCAAATTTCATGCTATTACAGGCAGAGGTAACTGCAAATTTCCTTCTATTACAAGCAGAGTTAACTTTCATAAATTAAACAAACATAACAACAAATTAAAAACATACACCAAAACACCGGAACAGAGCGTCTACGATATCACGACCATCAACTTTATCTCCTTTGGTGTCAACATCATCACAAGGACGCCGGCATCATTTTCCACTTTTCTCCATTCACGAGTAACTCCGTTTCTATCGGTCTTCTCCACCAACCTCTCAATTTTCCTAATCTTTTCTCCTGGAGCAATATCCCCTTCTAGCCAGCGGTTCAGTTCCCTGTGCAAGTGTTCCAACGTCTGCGTATTCCACAGGAGCACCTTCATCGGAGGCTTTGTTGCTGAAAACACCACAAGTGCATTTCTTTTCATTATATCAAACGTTGGAAAAGGTTCCTCCGATGCTGATGACGAAGAAGAAGAACGTTGATTCAGAAATGCAGACATTATGGACTCCGCTCAACTCAAACCGCACTACCGCTTTAGTCTTTTAGGAAATAATGTTGTGAAAAAAAACTTGTGTTTGAGCTCGTATTTATAGCCAAAAAAAATGATAATTAACAAACAATAAGTTAGTGCGCAAATACATCACAACAAGTGAAAATAAAATGCAAAAAAATGTAAAAACATAATTATACAAAAATGTAAAAATAAGTTTATTAATAATATAAATAATAATCAAAATAATAATCAAAATATTTTATATTTTAAAACTTAAATTAAAATTATAACTTATATTAAAGTTAAAATTAAAATTAAACTTTAAAAATAAAACTTAAATTAAAATTAAACTTATATTATAAATTAATTATATTATAAATTAATTATATTATAAATTAATTATATTATAAATTAATATATTAAACTTAAATTAGTAATAATAATAATTAAAAACAAATAAATTTTTAAACTTTAAAAATATGAAATCATAATATAAAAAGAAAAAAAAAACAAAAATCAGTTGCAAACCCTAACTTATACTAATTCACCAAATGATGTGGCGACTTTGTAGATGGTTTGGCTAATTCGCCAATTGGTCTGGCGAATTTGTTGAAATGGGATTTGGCCTAATTCGCCAATTGACCTGGCGAATGTCTGTTTTCCACTTTTCAAACCTTGCCATTTTCGTAAATTAATTGAAACATTATTTTGTTTGGTAAATAAAAATTATAACATTGTTACTTTAAAAAAAAATTCTATATAGTATAATAATAAGAAAAACCTTGCCTGGCTTGCATTACATCACACACTACACAGTTTGGTGTACTTTGTCAAAAATATATGTCTATTTTTTTTTAAAGATTTTAGTTTAAGCAGAGGCTAGAAACCAATGTTTTAAAAATCGGACCGGTCATCGAATCAGTGAGGATATTGAGTTACTAGTTTATCGATCGAACCACTAGATCACTGATCGAACCGCATGACTAAACCGAATTAAACCGGATAACTCGGTTGAATAGACCTGTCATTATATAGATATAAAACCGGTCGAACCGGATAATTCAGTTTCTAAAAAAATATAACTAGTATTTAAATTTTTTAAAAATATCATATTATAAATTAACAAGTTCATAATTTAAATTCAAATTTTAAATAAATGTATCACACATAAATACAAAATTACAAAATCTAATTGCAAACAAAATCTAATTGCAACAATTTCCCCATTAATGATATCATTTATTGATTATTATGAAATAAAAGATAACTATTTGTAAGTAAAATATAATTCTCCTAAAAAGAAAATCAAATAAAATTCAATATGTTTATGCTATTTCATTTTCCCTTTCAATAAAATACGTGCTTTTTTTTATTGTTAATATTTTAACATTAAATATAATTAATTATAAATTATAATTAATTAAAATTATTAGCAGTAACAAAATATAAAAAAATAAAATATATAACAATCCAAAAAATTAAAATAATAAAATAACTAATTTATTAGTAACTTGAATGATATTCACATAGTTGTCATTTATTGATACATTTACGTTTACATCAATAAAGTGTATGTGATCATCACATCCGATAAAAATGTTGGCTGTGTTAGATACATGCTAACTAAATTAATATGACATGTTAGATTCTTCATATTATTATCTACAATTACGTGAATACATTCAAATATTGGATGTCATCTTACTTGTAGTTTTGACTATTAATTAGTTAGTATAAATAAAAGCATTATTTATAGTGACTGCATATAATTTAAAACAGTGACGTGAATCCATGAACCTCCATTATAGTAGCACAATCTAAGGAGCAGCCGCAAGTTTACTAAATTAAACGTGGAATAGTAGCATTAGTAAAAGAATGCCCACTACTTATTTTTGGATAATAGAGCTAGGGCATTATTTTTGGTTTTCATGACCATGATCATCCGTAAAATGCTCGCCATTTAATACATTTAATGATGGTACCATCATCGTCTAGCCTGGAATATAAATGAAAATTTTGTATGTGTACTAAATTGTGCTCACACAACTCTTACATTGATATATTAGTTATCAAACATAGTATGTGGTGTAAATAGTTGATATATCTAAGTTTTATAATTGATTATTACACTTAATTTAATATAGTGAAAATAATGAATGTAGCTGATTTCCCAACTTTAGAATAAGAATAAATATTAAATAGCTACCGATTTGTAACACATGATATTGCGAAGAACCTATGTGGGTTTATTAAATATGATATTAAACATATGTGATGCCAATGTAAGGAGCAATATAATTTTACCAATTAGGTGTTAAAGGGAACCGGTGGTAACACCCAATTTGTGCGTGTGTTGATATTCCTATTGCAGGCATTGGAATTAAAGTAAGGCCAATTTGGTTCCAAATTATTAATCATTGAGCTGCAACTCCAAGTCTCCAACTTCAATAATTTCTAAGTTCAACTGCTCAAAGAAGAATCTGTTAAAAAAGACTAAACTTTTCAAAGAAGAAAGGTGCAACATCATCCCTTGCGTAAGAGTTTCAATTTGAAAAGATTACCATAATATTATAATTATTCAATGTCGTAAAACATAGCTATCTGAAGCTAAAACTGAACTACATCTGACTTTCTCAAACAAACAAAAGAGATATTACACAATCAAGTGATTCACTGAACATAAAACTATATTATTCTATCATACGTAATATAATTCCCCAAACACAAAGAAAGCTATCTATTCCTGGAAGGTAACTGACTAGAGGTTATCCATTGATTGGATTTGGAGGTATCATGGATTTATTTATCAACAAATGCTGCCTCAGCCAAGTCGATGGAGCGAGCAAGACCAGCAGCTTTGTTTTGACACTCTTGGTGCTCATCAGTTGGGTCACTGTCGGCCACGATACCAGCACCAGCTTGAAGGTAAGCAATCCACTCCTGGCGTTTGTTTTGGTCCTTGTATGAGTACATTGTGTCGTACCTAGTTCCAGTTGGAAATACTATTGTCCGTAGAGCTAGAGCTATGTCCATGTCACCAGAGAAAGAAATGTATCCAAATCCTCCACTATAAGGTCCCCGCCTTGCCACCTCCAATTCATCGATTATCTGCATGGCCCTCACCTGTACCCACCAGTTTTAGCTTGTTTTTAAAAGAACGAATAATTGAAAGGGAATGATGATAGAACATGTGCAGAAGTAGATCATACAATATTCTGTCATTCTGCACCAGGTTGCAGAAGAATCATGGCAGGATATAAAATTGCAAGACCCATGATAAAACGGGCTTTTCGAATTAGTTCGGAATTGTATTTTGAATAAAAGGAGTGAAGAAAATTATGAACCTTTGGTGCTCCACTGACAGTTCCAACAGGCAATGCAGCACGCAGAGCATCCCAGCAGGTCAAATGGTCTTGCAGCTCTCCAGTAACCTTTTAATTATAAACATAATTAACAATGCAGTACATGACGAATATTCATGTTCAAATCAAAAACATACAATTAAATATTATCTAATATCATGATGTTATTTATACATAAGACATTTTTCTTGGGAAAAAAGACTTTTTTTTGCATAGCAAACTATAAAAGACTTGTTTAAAAACATCAATTATCACTATAAAAGAAAAAAAAGGTTCTTACCGTCGAGCTTATGTGCATGACATGGGAATATCTTTCAACATTCATAAGCTTCTCAACCTTCACAGAACCACTTCTCGAGACCTACAAACAGAATTTTTGTTACAATAACCATCACAAATTGAAGTAAATAATACAAACTTTCTTTCAAAAAGTCAGGACAACTCGCTTTTATATGAATAATAAATCCATTCAAACAGCTTTGTCAGCATTGTGATATAAAGCCAAATGAGATTAAAGAAACGTATGAGATTATAAATATTATTTGTCATAGATGTTACAAAGAAAGGAATAATACTTTCTAACTGCAAATCCTTGACATAACAGTTTAAATCTTTAAGATCCATAACCATATATGTATACCTATTTTTCGTCACACAACCAGGTAATCCAGTTGCAAATTGACATTTAAGGAACAACTAAACAAGTTGATATGGATTGACAATCACGATTAACAAAAGCACTGCTCATAATCTTTTTTAACAAAGGCACTATTCAACCCCGGTTATTAGCTATATATTGATTTGTGTAAATTTGAAGTTACATAAACTTCAACATCAATAGAGGATTTTATGAAGGAAACATAATATAAGAAACACGAGTGGAAATATTTTATTTAAATAAAAATAATAGTGAATCCATCAAAGTGAAATACATAACAGACCTTCCCTACATCATTGCGTCCCAAATCAACCAGCATTACATGTTCTGCACATTGCTTTTCATCTTTCAAGAGCTTCGCTGATAACTCTTCATCTTCTTGTGGCGTGTTGCCTCTTTTACATGTCCCAGCTAATGGACGATTGACAATCTTCTTCTGTTCATGAGAAGATCGTTATAACTATTCACTTTAGAATAAATAGTAGAATAATTTAATAAACCAGATATTTTTTTGCCTTAAAATTTGGAAATAAACATTTCAAGTGACCAAGTAAGAACTATCAATTAATTTAACACTCTCATTTTTTACTAAGGACAAAAACATACATTTTTTATACGTGCAAGAATCTCTGGACTTGAAGCAGCCAGAATACATCCCCTAGCCTGTTAAGAAAAGATATGACTGTCAGGATGAAAAAGATGTGCCCCGGCTTTCTGGGAAAAAAATTATTTGTGTTGCATTGAAATAAACCTGCAAATAAGTCATATATGGACTTGGATTCACAACTCTCAAAGCTCTATAAACTTCAAATGGATCAGCGAAAGTTCTTCGTTCAAATCTCTGACTTAATACAACCTGAAAAATATCTCCGGCTTTAATATGTTCTTTTGCCTGAAGGACTGCCTCCTTATATGCATCAGGTGTCATGGTTGATTCCTTTAAAGGTGGACCAAATTGACGAGTTTTCAAACCAACAGCACCAGGAGCGAGCCTCGGGCTAGGAAATTCAATTGCATTTTTAATTAATTTTGATTCATAAGCAAGTATATAATTAGAGAGAGCAACATTCAACAGATAACTTACTGTTTGTCATCTTGTAATTTGGCCACTAATTTGTTTAATTGTTTCATTCCGTCCTCGTAAGCACTCTCGGCCGAGGAGTACCGGTCAGTCCTCACCCAAAGAATCACATATGCTTTCTGTTGGGTAGAGCGCAAGTAAGAAATTGAGTCAACAGTTAAATATTAGTTATCAATAAGGTCTTCATATCATATGTAATAATGAAATTAAATAATAATGAAAAATCTTGAGCCGAATAACTATAAATGCAATGGATTCCAAATCAGTGCTGAGTATTTACTTCACCTCTCAACAGTCATTTCATGATATCTAACCATTACATGACAATTATATCCTTGCAATAGTATTTGTGCATGCAAAAAAACAGATACCTTCTCCACGTGATCAAACACAATCACAGTCTCATAAAGGCCCAGATGGATGTCTGCGAGGCTCCTGTCATCCTTTGGGGCGTCTGAAAATGATAGCTTTTTCTTTTCCACATAGCGAACTGTGTCATAAGAGAAATAACCTGCCAAACCACCTACAACAACAGCTTAAACTAGTTAATGCTTTGTAGATAATATCATTAGATGAGAAAAAAAAAACGTCAACATTACTCTCTTGCGTAAGTCCACGCATGCGCACAGACAAGATGGCACAACGACAAAAAATGTCAACATTACTCTCTCACGTAAGTCCATACGCTCGCACAGACAAGATGGCGCATAACAACAAATAATGTACTAATGCAGACTGTCGGCATTCAGATCACAAAATCTTAAGCCTAGATTTCTACTTCATTTATGATAAAAACCAAAAAAGACATTATTTCTCATACAATTAAGTCTGTCTGAATACTTATTAATTGAATCATAATTTAACATGAGCCCATCTTGATTCACATGTTTTACGATGATCTTATAACTCTTACCACAGAATGCATCTGGAAGTTGATCATTAAGAACTGGTCTCCACTCCTGTGAGATTTTTCTGGGAATCTCCATAGGATCATCAACCATCTCCTCAGTTAAATGACCAGAGACATGGTCCATCACTGTAACCTTATTTTCTTTTGCAACAATTTCCATTGATGGTCGAGCTCCCACAACACTATAACGCCCCTGCAATCAATCCACTCCCATATTAAAAAAAAAAAAAAACCTAAATTTCAAAATCACAACTACAAAAGTAAATCACATACCACATTGGAAGACTGAGAATTAGGCTCAGCAGACTCAAAAAGAAAGCTCGGAGCTTCCCGGTCATCCTTATCAACCAAGATCCGGTAAGCAAGAACAGGAGTAAGCTGATCAGCGAATATACACCGATAGATAGGAACCAAGTTTCCACTTTTCGAATCCTCAACAAACCTCCTTCTTCCATCATTTTCTTCACCTGCAAAAACAATAGATCCTTATTCAAAGATTCCCTTTTATATTTCATCATGAAAAAACCAAAACCATTGAGATTGAAAATGCATGTTATGTTATGTTATAAATCACAGCGAGTTTGACCAAATCAAGTAGCCACAGTCATTTCTTCGAAGCTCTAAAGTCTAGCTTTTGTCAAACTCACACCCAATCCAAACATATCAACAGCCGTTAATCCCAAATTTGCACAAAACTCCTCCACTTAATCAAAATCAATCAGATTCATCATCTTCCATCCAAAGCTACAACATTCATCTCATCATTCAAAAAAAAAAAAAAAACTCATTACACTTTCAAATTTACTAAATAGCACTAGCTCACCAAAATGCTATAACCTCAACAAAATACCCAAATTTCACTCTACCAATAGTTTACCAAAAACACAAAACAAAACAAAACCTCAACTCACCAATAGATGAAACTGAGATTGAAGAAGACCTCAATGTAGCACAAGGGAGTAAACGACGACCACCACGACAAACTGAAACTCCGGCGAGCCTCGCCGGAGATAAACGGCTACCGGAAGAAGGAACCACAAGGCGGTTAGAAACCGTTAGGGATTGCATTGTGGAGCATGATTTAGCAGAAATGGGGGAAAAAGGAAGCACAGAAGAAAGCATCATTTTGAACTGAATTACTATTTACTAGTTTGTTGCAGAAAGAGGATGAAGAATAATGAAGAAGAAATGATGAATTTATAGTTACAAGTACTTCGTTCGGTGAAGTTTGGCATTGTCAAGTTTCAATGTACCGGAATCATTTATGGATTTTCTAACATTTTTGAACATTTTCTCGTTTTAAGGGATGATTGAATGTATTTTTGAGTTCAGAAAAAGGACTATTTTATTTTTTTTTAAGTAAATATTTCATGTATATTGATAAAGTTGTACAAATCTTTGTTCATACATTGTTTTTGTAACTTTTTGGCTACATTCCATGTTTTTATTTCAATTTTTTTTAAAATTTTAAGTTAAAAAAGCAAAATTGGAAATTAATTTCTTTTTCCATTTTTATTATCCTGACCTTTGAATTTAGTCGTTAAATATTTTAAATTTTACAAATAGTCAAATACAATGTAATTTATATAAACCACTTTTCTCTTTGAAATTGATTGAAAACATGTGTAACGCATGGAAAAGATCATTGTTATTTTAAATTATTAAATAAATGTTAACTGTACAAAAATTATTTGTTGTATTGAAATATAAATTGAACAGGTCTACTAAGAGATAATTCCAAAAAAAATAAAAATAGAGAGAGTTATTACCTATTAATTTTTATATGTGTATTATTGATTTTAAAAAAAATAATTTGTAGTTAATTTAACAGTGACATGCATTAAAAGAATTGTTAGGAACCACTTTTCATTTTAAATTTCACTAAAATCGCATATTTGATAAATCTATCATTGTATAAAGCATGCCTCAATCTCCTTAAAAAAAATAGAATAAGACTCTTAATCATTCTACACAGTACATACATGTTATAATATCTGTATAATTATTAATTGAGCTCGTCATAATATCTGCATAATTATTAATTGAACTCGTTTAATGAGATTATAAAATATATATTTTAAATTTGTGAATTGTCTTATTTAAATTTAATATTTTATTTGATTAAGAGATATGAATTATTGAGAAATTCTAAGACAAAGTAAAATAAATATATTTAGTTTTACATTAAAAGAGATATATTAACTTTTTTGAGATTATAATTAAATGAGATAACGTTAATTTTTGTATTTATAATTTATGACGGAAAAAGAATTTTTTGTGGTTATATTTTATTAGGGAGAAGTATTAGTATAATTTTATTCAAACCCTCATATTATAACTTCTAGTGAATTCCACAAATTTATAAAAGGAAATTACTGAAATTATTTTATAAAATTCTATTTGACTGGTCATAAGTCATTAGTTTTTATATTTCTTTTTGTTTCGTTTATATACTATTTCTTACATGAGAAAAAAAAAATAAACACTCGAGTTTTCTTTAAAAAATAATGTCAATATATTTGACTTTTACAGTAAATTATTCAACAATTATTGGTAATTGTAAAATTCCTTACACGTTCATTTCTATCTTTTTACACCCACCTACATTATGAATGAATAAATTAATAATGTACCTTCACTTAATTTAAACTAAAAACTCAATTTACTTTAAAATAATTAACTAAGAGTGAATTTACATGTGATTTAATATTTTTATTAAGTGTCTTCGCATTACGGTTTGAATCATTTTTGAGATAAAAATTCATCTGATATAAAGTATCTTAATTTAATTCGATTTTAAATTATTAAAAAATCCAATTTAATCCGATCTAATTTCATATGATTTAATTTGAATTGATTATTAGATATCTAAATTACAAATTATATATTTTATTAAGATTGTAAGAATATTAATAAATAATAAATTTAATATAATATATTATATATAGAATATTAAAAATTAATATTATAAAATAAGAATATCAATTATAGTTGAAACAAATAAAATAATATAAATAAATAGATTAGATTAAACTAATAAATAGTATTAAAAAAATTAATATCATCGAATAATAAATTAACACAGTATATTATATTAATAATATATATATATATATACACGCACTTCGATTCAGTTTTGAAAAATAATTCGAAATTAAATCAGAATCGAACAATTATTATAAAATGACACTCAAACACATCTGTAGTGTTATATTTGCAAAATGTCTTGCATAGGACCGCTATAAGAGAATGTGATGACATGAGGTCGCCCGAAGGGAGGTATCTCCTCGTCCTTAAGTTTTTCTCGCCCCTAGAGGGAAATAATCGCAGGATATAGATGTGTCTTGGATAAAGACAAAGTCAGAGTCGTTGCTAACTTCCATCACCCTCGGAAATAAGGATTAAACTATCCACCATTTGATGGAGTAGGTAGTGGCCTTTTTCCGAGGTAACCTTAGGTCCTAAAGCCTTTATAATACATTACCCCCTCAAGGGGATGGGGAGATTCTCAAGTTGTTCACATTTACGACTACGCATAGAGCATTACGCTTATAGTAGCCTAATACATAATCAACCTAACTGTCCGCCTGCAATTCAGTAGAGTCGGCCACCAACAGGGTCTCTCATCTCACGTGAGCTGATCCATTAAACAACTTTAAAATCCAACATCATATAGGACTTCTTGTCGTTGTGAGCAAGTTCTCACTACCCAAATTATAAATAACCAACAAAAACCTCTAAGTCCCTTTGCCCTTGCAGAGGAATCAGACACACCCTTTACTTTTTGATAAGTACATCATCTACTAATATTTGTGTTTTTTTTTTTTGTAATATTTGATTTTTTTTTAGATTAATTTGCGGTTTTTATATGAATCGATTTAGATTTGAACACTTCTAATTTTTATTAACAATATTCAGTTATTATTTTTTATTCTTGTAGTTAATGTTTATTTTTCTCTACACAATTAATTAATATTTCCCTTTTTAAGTATAATTTCTCAATAGTTATTTTCTATTAAAAATGTTTGATTTTTTTAGTCTTATTATTAACATTTTGTAAAAATCCTACACTTTCTTTTATATTTAGATTAAAAAAAATATTACACTTTTTTTTTATAACTAATTAAATATATGGGTATTAGGGTAATTTACATCTCTCGAAATATATAACATCTCCTTTCTTTTATTAATTTTTTGTTAACCAACCAAATAATGTTTGTAAAATTCCTTACATATACATGCGTTATTGTGATATCCAACTCGTTTTGATTAAAATATGGTATAAAGTTGCATCTCCGTGTATTATTTGGGTATATCCAAAGATGCATTTCTGAAATATCCCATGAAGTACTTTTACAGGTATTGGAAGCGTGTTAATTGCAAGAAGGGAATTACTTCAGAGATGCGTCTCCAAAAATCCCTCAGAATGGTTTCAGAACATCGCCATTGTGCCAACATTATAATATTCTGAGGCAAAGTTATATTAACATAAAATTTAAGTAAAATCATAGTAAAATCAAGTTTAATTAAAGTTAAATGAAAGTAAAAAGTTACACATTAATTAAAAAATGAAACATCATACGTGACATTTGTCCGAAAATACAATATATATATATATATATATATATATATATATATATATATATATATATATAAACTATTGTGTATGTCGAACCATCTGGCTTCCCCTCTTCCTCTGTACTACACGATATTTTATAACTCGGCAACCATGTTGTCCATGAGGGTCAAATAAGGGTTGTCATCCTCAAAGGGTATCACCTCTATGCCTGCTTTACCCATCTCCATAACACGCCGACAGGCCGCCATCACGCTCACGATATGGTCATCCTAAGCCTCAAGTACCTCTTGGTTAGTCGGCCTAGGTGGTCTTCCAGGAGCACTTGGTGTCATGATAAAGTGAGACACCCTATAGAACCATGTTATATAGTCGTCTGCATATGCCCATTGTACAGGAGATGCATCTTTGGACACTAGGGGCATTAGTAACTTTTCACGGTGGTTGGGGAGCAAATATAAAGGTGAGAAGAGCAATCCCCATAAAAGAATAGCATAAATTCTCATTCATAGCTTTAGAATAGTCCAGAGTAAGAAACAAAAAGTTTTATTTAATTAAATTTAAGAATAAAAGTTATTAAGAAATTTATGTTTTTTCAAGAAACAAAAAATATCATAAATACAAAAGAAAGTATAAAAAATTGGGGGACATAAATCATACTCAATAACCACATATCAACCCTAAATGAGTAATACAACAATAAAAAAAATGGTATATAAAAGACAAACTGAACATAACTTTAATAAAAAGCACAACGTAATGTTGATAGATGCACATAAGAACATAATTCAACCCAATGTGGGATCCAAAACCATATTGCAAAAGAAATGTGTATAGCAAGCCGCAAGCATTCTAAATGAATCAGACAAATACATACCAACAACATCTGTGAAATAAACCACAACAAGTTTAACAGCTCTTTCGATCCTACCTATCTCACACCGCAACGAGTTAGTTCAAAGAGATCTGATCAAACAACAATAGGACATCGCATCGGCGACGACCCTTTACCACTAAAGAACCACTGGTGGGGTGTTAGAAACCCAAGCACCTAAAAATTGTAAATCTCAATAGATATGAAAAAGAATCAGAGACCAAAATCAAGAATCCACCACCAACACCGGCAAATAGCTTGAGAACAACAAGAGTCAGATTCGAAGTGAAACCACAAAAAACAAACACAAGCTATCCAACAAATTATCCTAGTTAGCTTGATTATTCTAAAAGAGGGAATATTTGAGTATTTCCAATACTTAAGAAATGTTTATTCCATAATTGTTAGATAATAATAAAATTATTTTTTAGTGAAAGTTGAAGGTTATTAATCAAGCTGTACTTTTTTGACATAAATTTTTGGTAGTTTAACTCTGCTATTAATATTGAATACTCTAGCATGTAATTGTATCGGTGTTGTTTATTATGATTTAACTTTTGTGGTTTTAATTTTTTTTCTCTATTTGGACACATCTTGCCCTTGAATTCATCTTCTTTATAAAAAATAAAAGTATTTCAATATTTTTGCAATTAAAGTAAATTTTATCATCAGATG